GAAAACCACTTTATCTTAACTAAGTTCTCTTAACTAAACGCAGTTCTTCTGTCGGCCATGAACCTAACTTTAGAGCACCAGAATGAGCACAAACAATGCTAATAAAGTTAAAGGGAAACTCCAACAATTTGTATAAATTTCTGTACAGCTAAATTATGTTAAAATCAGAGGTGTGAAATGCTCCATTCTAGAGAAATTTACCAAATCAAAATGTTGAGGCGCATGGGAACCAGACGTCCGGCCTCTAAAAGCTCTCTCACAGAATGTTGTTACATGAAACAGTTATGAAAACTTGCATGATAGTTTTGAGAAAGTTTGTTTAAAACATACACATTTTTAAGTTCATGGTGGAGAGGTACATGCTCCCAAATAAAATTAGCACTATTTTACCATCATCATTACATATAAAACTCTATGACACTGGTGGTTTTGGATAGTTAGTAAAATGGCTGAATTTGTGTTGTGGACATCACAACCTCTGGTTCACCACCACTATAAAGAAACCTCATAGAAATCTCACTCTGAATGACTTTTAGGGGATCTCAACAACTGAATTATACTACAATTTTGAAAAACTGATGGAATTCCCCTTTCAGTGTGTGGTTCAGAAGCAGCTTTAATACTGTTACATGCATATACACTCACTGGCCACTTTATTAGCTCCACTTACCTTTTAGATCCACTTTATGGGTATAAAGTTACAGACTGTAGCCCATCTGTTGCCATTTAATTTATCAGCCCCCCTCTTTACCATCCATCATTGGCCAGTTTCTGACCACATGACCGCTGTCGTCCAGATATTATCAGGGTGGTGGATCATTCTCAGCACTGCAGTAATACTGACATGGTAGTGTGGTGCTGGTACAAGGAGGGTTCAAACTGTAGCAAAGCTCTTGGGGGTCTTGGGGGTGGAAAGTCTGACTATGATGTGAAATGTTTATTGTATATTTGTATTTTATATTTTTATATAACATTTTGTAAGGCTTATCCTTTTTTTCACAAGTGGCAGGAATCGATTAGCTATATCCATATCAATATAAATGAGTTTTATACTCAGAGCCTGGCAAGAAGACACAGCAAGTAGGTCTAATATGCCTATTTTTTCTCAGTTAACCAACTAAAACATATTATTTAATTAGTAAAAATCTGATTTCACCGTTGACAGGCAGGTTTTATGGGTCCCATGAGAAGTAAAATCAAATTACAATTCAGTTTGCTGGACAAATGGATAAAATTACAGTCATTTTTTGGTTGTTGATGATGGACGATGCATTCGCCTCAGGTTGGGCAGCATGTCCACTCTAAATTGTCTCCAACTGTTACCCCCTCCCCTACTGAAAAAAGGGGGTGGTTTAAATGTGAAGTCCTCTGATTAACAAGTGATAAGTGCTAAAAGTTTAACAGCGCTGCGAACTAGGAAGGAAGAGCTGGATAGCATTAGCTTAGCTAATAGCTTTGCTCTGATTCAAATCTGCAGTAATAAAAAGATAAAAAGTTGAAAAGGTAGAAAGTTGAAAAACAGGCGTTAAAGTAACAGAAAGGCGAAATTTAAACTGTTCCATCGTGTCTGGATCTGTAGCCTAATCAGCTAACTTAACGTTAGCTTAGCGAGCAGGCTGCTGACCCAAACAGTGCAACACAACAGAGGACAGGCTTGATTCTGACTCACTAGTGCTCTGAATAAACAAGACTACATGATAAAAACTAATGTGTGAAGGAGCAAAAGTTGAGTGAGTGGTGTTGGAGTGACAGAGAGCTGAAAGTAAACCGTTTTGGCTAAGCTAATGAGAGCTTAGTTAGCAGGCCAAACATGCCTCACGCCACAGCACAAGCTTGGTTCCAGCTAACTGATGCTAAAAAGACACCCATTTAGAGGATTTCTGAGAGCAAGCATTCGAGTGATGGCAGTTAGAGTAACAGAAAGTTCAAATTGGATGTGTTCTGTGGTGTGTGTAGCTCTTAGCCATCGCTTAGAGGTTTTTCCTGGCTCTGATTTTCCCCTTTTTCCTCATAATACTGTCACTGCTATGTTGAGAGTTGTCCACCACCCAAAGAAACTGACCACTGATGAAGGACTAGAAGATGACTAACAGACGGGCTGCAGTCTCTAACTGTACACCAGCGAGGTGGAGTTCCAAGGTGTTTCTAATAAAGTGGACAGCGGGGGCGTATATTAGAGGGAATGTATAACATGGAGATCTAGCTTGTCGTCCTTCCTCACAGCTGTGCTTTGTGCCTGTCGTCTTCAGCCCGAAGGATACAAACATCATCATTATAATGTCATTTAAAATGCTGACAGCTCACTGGCTGCTCTATTGATCGCTCTGTGTAAGACGCAGTCGACTGGAATGAGCCGCGCATATCAATACAGAAGACATAATAAGCAGCCTGGCTAAAGACAGCGTGATGCTATGAGATCTAATTACAGATCTCACAAATCAGGGTATATTGAAGTATTGATGGAAGCTGTAATGGTGAAAAAAAATATATATATTGTTTTTCAAAGCAGAGAGGTATATTCTAAACGACAGATGTCAGGGTTGGGCCATTTGTAAAGTATATTGTTGCAAACACCGTAATCTATTTTCATAATACCCCTCAGAGGATTGTAAGAGCTGTGTGGAGGCTGAAATGCCAAAAGTTTTGTCTTTTGCTCTGAATACAGATGCATATTGACTCGGTTGAGGGAACACAGTCAGGCTGCATTAAAGGGCTCATATTCTACAGTTTTCTTGTATTTTATTTTTAGTCCATTTATAATTTTTTTTAATGTTTGTGTGGTTTTCTGTGCCACTTTTATACTTGGCCAATGTCCAACCTCTCTTTATCCTCTAGAATAAAACAGACTGTGAGTCTTTAAAGGGCCCATATCGTGGAAAAACAAATTTGCATCACACCTTAGAAATAAAAAAAAATTGATTTGATTGTATTTGAACACTGTCAAAGTGTCAAAACATATCGTTTCACTTCTCAGCCCTTACAGTCCACATATGGAAACTAAACTGCAAAAACCCACTGTTTTGTGACGTCACAGAAAAGAACTGCATTTACTTATATCTGCCAATTAAAGGCACAGCAACATCATCAGCTTATTTAATTATAAGGGCTATAAAAATGTTGGAAAATGGTCATCTCTGGAAAAAAAATAAAATATGAAAAAAGGACCCTTTAAAACCTTTATATGCAGATTACCTCTGCTCTGATTGACTTTCAGGAACACCACTACATTTACACCAATATAAATATTTCACATACTGTCTGTAGTAAAACAACACAAATAGGTGGAGTTCAACTGCTAAAGACTGAAATATTTAAATTTGTTCATGGTTGTGACATCACAGCCATGATGAATCCTACAGGCTGATTTTGCAGTTCAGTTTCCACATAGGGACTGTATGGACCGGGAAGAAAATGGTATATTTTGGAAATTGAACAATATCTACATAGTTTTAAAACAGGTAAAGAAATTCAGTTTTCCATGATTCGGGCCCTTTAATGAATTACAATGAATAACCCAACAGCGCACGTCATAACTAACACTGGACCGAATGTGGGAAACATCGCTAAAGCAGTGATGCAGTCAGAGCTTGGAGCAGATCTCAGTAAAAGTTATAAGGATGTCATGTGCAGCGTGTACCCAGCAGCAAAGTAGGGGAACCAAAGCAGTCACATGGCTGATGATGATGAAGGGTAAAGATGGACCGAGCACGTTCACCACGAGCCACTACATACACACCCACACACACTTCTATAAAGAAAACGTTAAACATTCACAAGCGCTCAGCATCAGACTTCAGCTTTTTTTTATGGAGGGATTTTCAGACAAAACAAGTTAAATAAACAAACAAACATATATATATATATATATATATATATATATATATATTGTAATGTGGCAATAAATGAAAAACTAAGTAAAATTAAGAATAAATAGAAATAACAGTCGTATGCAAAGGTTTTGGCACCCCTGGTCAAATGACGCTTTGTTGATTGTGAAAAAGTGAACACATCCTATACAGAGAACACCCTTCTGCACATTTTAATACACAAACACTGTGTTTAATCTGTTGCTTGTGCCAAAGTTATGTCACATTTGATATTTTATTCTTCGTCAGTATGTTAACTCAGCACCTCAGTAGAAACTTTGCACTAAAATTAGCAGAGAAATGTAATATTTAAGTTTGTTCTCTGTAGAGGATGTGTTAACAACAACAACCAGGTGTGTTGAAACTTTTGCATACTATTGTCTGTCACCCATCAGGGTGGGGGGACATATAGGCTAACTTTTTCTGGCTATCACTACAGACCAGCTATTGGCTACATTCAACATAAACATTATTTCTTTCAGTATAGTCCTACATTTATTACACACTACTGCAAGAAAATGTGCTGTTGACAGTAAGCAATGATCAGATTAAGTAAAAAACGTGTCTTTCCAAATAACCAATCACCAAATTCTCTGCAATCTTATGGGTGCAATTGACAGTCTAAAATAAAGGTATGCTAATTACATAAATAAGTTGAAGGCTTTTGTTTTAAAGAGTAGAGACTATTTTCAAGATTTTTTTTTTCCATGGAATATGTTATTAAGACTGGCTTTCACCTACAAGAAATAGCAATGCTGTATTATGAGTGATACGACAATCATTAGAGAAATAAAATGTGTTTTTAGTTATATTACAGCTGTAGTTCAATGTTCTGTAATGAAGCTCTTCAATTACACATTGTTATTTTTTTATTTTAATCATTTATACTTATATTCAGTTGTACTGTTATTTATTGCCACATTATTGCATTTAACACATTTAATGAATTGTTTACTTATTTATTTAATTAATTGTGTCTCGGGGAAAAAAAAAACTCTCCATATGTTCTGCTTAAAAAGAGCTTATGAATGTCTTATATTATATTGAGTGTGTAATAAACGTTATAATATGAAAATGTTTTGTAGTGGAATTATAATGGCTCTACAAAGGAAAAGAGAGGACATTTCACTTTACCTTTCTGTTCCACTTCTAGATTAGGCATGAAAAAAAACAAAGAGAGAGAGAGAGAAAGAGAGAGAGAAAGAGAGGACAATACATTAATGATGTGACAAACTGATCAAGTGTCTTCTTCCCAGAGTGTATTGAATGTTTTTAGAGAAAAATAATGTTACACAGTAGCCATCTCCTCTTCTGTCATAATTAGACATCGTTAAAAACAATAAACAAACAAAACATTCAAAAAGAGGCAACTTTGAATGGAAAATCAACAGGTCCCTCTGCAGCCTGTGGAGAGAAAGAGAAAGGAAAATCTGCCCCAGACATGAATTACAGCTCTGTAAGAAACAAAAAACAAAGCAAAAGAAAAGGACAGACTGAGAAGAAAAACATTTGAGAAGAGAAATGAAATAAATTCAGACTCTATATTGAAAACGCACCGTTAGAAGAACAGATGTGGATCATTAATGTGTGTGTGTGTGCGTGTGTGTGTGTGTGTGTGTGTGTGTGTGTGTGTGTGTGTGTGCATTGAACTGTGATGAGGTCACATGTCCACCCAACACTCTGCCTCCTGTGTGTGTTCAGTGTCCTTGTAATCCTTTATTTAATAAGTCAGGATTAACACCAGTTACAGCCAACTTACAGACCATATATATGGACTGAGAAGGAAAGAAGGAAAGAATGAAAAAGAGGGTAAAAAAACAAATGAAAGACCAAATAAAGAACGGTAGAAAGAACGGAGAGTGAAAGAGAAAAAAAAACAGAAAAAGGCAGGGGAGAAATGGAACGAGAGAGAGAGAGAGTGAAAGAAAGAGAGAGAGAGAGAGAGAGAGAGAGAGAGAGAGAGAGAGAGAGAGAGAGAGAGAGAGAAGAAAGAAAATGATAGAGTGAAAGACAGGGAAAGAAAGAGAGATAGAGAGATATATAGAGAGGGGATTGGTGTCCAAGTTTAACAAACCTGAAACATATTTATCCCTTAGCTATGTATTGTAAAAGTCTCTCTCTCTCTCTTTCTCTCTCTCTCTCTCTCTTTCTCTCCTTAGTCCTGTAACCTGTAACATCCTAAATCCTCACTGCAGGTCTCCACGACAACCACCAGCACTGATCAACGTTGTCCAGCACTGACAAACTCACACACACACACACACACACACACATATGCAGACCGGCTGCTATAAGAACACAGTACAGACTCAGTGAACGCAGACCGGCTGCTATAAGATCACAGTACAGACTCAGTGAACGCAGACCGGCTGCTATAAGATCACAGTACAGACTCAGTAAAAGCAGACCGGCTGCTATAAGATCACAGTACAGACTCATTGAACGCAGACCGGCTGCTATAAGATCACAGTATAGACTCAGTAAAAGCAGACCGGCTGCTATAAGATCACAGTACAGACTCATTGAACGCAGACCGGCTGCTATAAGATCACAGTATAGACTCAGTAAAAGCAGACTGGCTGCTATACGATCACAGTACAGATTCAGTGAACGCAGACCGGCTGCTATAAGATCACAGTATAGACTCAGTAAAAGCAGACTGGCTGCTATAAGATCACAGTACAGACTCAGTGAACGCAGACTGGCTGCTATAAGATCACAGTACAGACTCAGTGAATGTAGACCGGCTGCAATAAGAACACAGAACAGACTCACGAAGAGAGATAGGTTTAAAAAGTAATTATATTAGGAGAGGGTCCAGCAGTGCCCACTGCAGCCAGATATGTGTATGAGTGTCATTCCCTTCAGGACAGTGAGTGACCACCACACCACAATCTTTTCTTTTACTCACTGATATATATATATATATATATATATATATATATATATATATATATATATATATATATATATATATTTATATATATATATTTATATATATATATATATTTGATAATTAACATTTCTTTCCTTGTCTTTCCTGTTATAAACTACAGACACATATTAAATAGGTTTTGTTTTATTATTGTATATACTTTTATATTATTAATTAATAATTAACACTTTCGGTTCTTAATTGTTGCATCATCTTACATTAATCTTGGTTTTGTATTTTTTTTTGTTTGTTTTTTTTATTGAATTTTAATATATAGATCACTTTGTAGTGCTTTGACTATACAAATTTGTCATGTTAATAAAGCAAACTTGAACTTGAACCTGAGAGGAGAAAGTCAGACAGAAGAGAGAGAGAGAGAGAGAGAGAGAGAGAGAGAGAGAGGGAGAGAGAGAGAGAATAATGCGATATGAAAAGCTTTTTGATGCTTTCTGAGAGTGTAATAAGATTTGGAAAGGCTGTCATCGACTGAGACGTTTATAGATTTAAAGAGAGAGGGAGATATTTAGGGAGCGAGGGAGAGGAGCGCTAAAGGAGAGGAGAAGCAGCTGCTACAGGAATATCACTTCACTGACTTTAAACAGGCATCACATTAGCTGTCACCAGGGCTGAGATTCTTCCTTACAGTACCTGAGGCAAATCATTCAAACACATGAAATAATCCTTATTTCTGGATTCAAGAAAATTAGAAGAATGCTTATCTGGCAGCATCAGCATCTGGACAGTCTGATGGCCTTTCACTCCATCATGGAACGTAAACGACCTTTCCAATTACAGTCAGAAATTTAAACTCATGACAAACTGTAGTGATCTTGGTTTAAAGTCACTCTATAATACTGAGTTTCCATTTACACTAGTGAGCTCACTGAAACAAGGCAGGCCCAGACGATAAACATCACCTGAAGTTAATACAGAGATGAGTAAAACTCTCCTACCTGTCCAACTTCGCAACAACAGAAAGAATGTGTTAGTGGGCGGAGCCTGTATGTTAATCCACCTATCCACTCCCTATTTCTCAAATGTGATCTTGCCTAATAACTGTTGCTAAGTTTGACAAGCTTTACAGAATGTTGCTAAATTATGTATATTTATTTAGATAAAGATCTATGCAAAAGTTTTGGCGCCCTGGTCAATTACATTTTCTTGGTCTTCTAAGTGAAAATAAGTTAATGTCCTCTACAGAGAATACACTCTTGCACATTTTAATGCACACTTACTGTTTATTTGCAAAATTTTACATATTGGGAAATACGAAATAAAACCTAAAATGTGGCCTGTGCAAAAGTTATGGCATATTTTAGATTTCTCAGACTATTGTGTACAACAGTGTCTAGTTTGGAACATTTCAAACGCAAAATAAATACTCAAAAAGATTCATTGTCATATTTATTGTTTAAAGAATTGTGTCCCACCTCAATAACATACTCTAGATTTACAGAGTTTTTACCAATTTGGACAAACAATGTTTACTTAAAACAGTGACAGTACATTTGTATGTATGGAGGCATGTATTTATCTGTGGCATTAAATGTGTGCATGTTTCATACTCAGTTGTAGGCAATTAGGCTATTTTAGGCTATTAAAACACTGACCACAATAGTCTACTGCGCTAGCGCCCCTCCTGTGGACAAAGGGCACAACCGTCTATTTGGCCCTCTCTCTGGGTGGGTAGGGTAGGTAGGATGGTCTCCCTTGTCCCTCTTTACTCAGTACTATGCTAGCCACAATGCTACTGCATATTGCACTGCCACTTTGTTTATACACCCAAATATATTGCATATTGTGCTGCTATTTGTTTATACTCAGTGGACGTGACGTGCACCACTGCATTGTCACCTGCATAATATTTATGTGATTTTTTTGCTTTTTTTGTGTGGCACACTATATTTTATGGTCGTTTTAGCATATTTTATTTTTTTTCCTTCTTCTATTTATGCATCTGTGTAATAGTGTAGGGCAGTATTTTGGCTCTGGTTTTGCTCTTTACTGTACTTTGTGCTGCTGTAATAGATGACTGTCTGTCTGTCTGTCTGTCTGTCTGTCTATCTATCTATCTATCTATGTATGTGGGTGTCTGTTAGCTGAAGTTACAGAATCAGCAGTTAGCGCTCTCCTCCAAGCACGATGAGCTCCAATGGCATTGTGTTAGTGACAGTTCGAAGAGATGTTTTGGCGCCTTATGTGTCTTGGAGGAAGCACATGCTAGCTTTCACCCCAGGCTTCACCCAGCTTGGGGAAAGGAAGGGAAGTGCAGGCTAGTGGGAGGAACTGACCACTATAAAATCACAGAAAAAACTGAGTTTAAAAAAGAACATTAATTGTAACTCGCGTCCTCAAATACAAAAACACTGTGCAGTTGCTCATTAGGCAGAACCTAATGGTTGAATGGCATGTTTGCCAAAGTTCTGTAAAGCTTGTCACACACAGAGCTGTGAATGTCCGTCAGAGTGGAGGAGAGTGTTAGTGCTGCAGTGACTGAGTGCTGATCACTGAGTTCCTCTCACTGCTGCTACTGAGGCGCTACACGTCAATCACAGCTGGAGGAGAGAGCACACTCGCTTATACATGCAGGAGAGAAAAACAAGCACAAATGACCTTTCAGGAGGAGAGAGAGGGGGAGAGAGGGAGAAAGAGGGAGAGAGAGAGAGAGAGAGAGAGAAAGAAAGAGAAAGAGATGTGTTGCCCTGTTTGTAAAATAACTTCTCTAATAAAATACTTGCTCTAATTTGCTGTTCTTATGCATCCTAAAACAATACAAACACTATCATAACATACATAAACATGGCATTTATTAACAGTCCTAATTTTAAGATATTTCTGTAATTAGAAAAATGACCTCTGAAATGTCTTAATCATTATTTCAGTGATATTTTGCCAATATTGGAACTAAATGTGGTAATGATAAAGCTTATCGAATAGTGTAGAATAAAACTGAAAAGACTGTAAAAGAAAAAGTGAGAAAGGAATTAAAAGTATTTAATAGTTATTAATATTGCTTTCAATGTTTGCTGTAGTTATTATCATTGTTGTTGTTATTGCTACTGTTATGAAACAGTACTTGACAGTCACGCCACTAAAGCTTGAACACAGAGAGAGAGAGAGAGAGAGAGAGAGAGAGAGAGCGAGAGAGAGAGAGAGCGAGAGAGAGAGAGAGAGAGAGAGAGAGAGAGAGAGAGAGAGAGGGTGTTGGATGTGA